TACTTAAGCACTTACAAACATAACGATGTACTCCAGCATGATAGTTTTTCATACAAATTACCAATTTCGTTTCGTCACCAGTGTTACCGAACTACATCAACCTATCAGAATTTATATTTATAGCTGCTAAATCTAACAATGTAATATGCATTGTACAGCATAACCCCAACCCTAACCCTAATAACGCATTTTTTGACTTTCTTTTTAGGTTATTCAATATAACACGAAACCGTCTATCGTTCGCGAATATCAAAATGAAAACATTAGTGCATAACTGTATTATGTTTCTAAGATTTCGACAAAACACAGATAAACGAGGTCTTTGTGACTTATCATATATTTTAGGGAATACAGCGAGGAGGAGAAAAGGTCAATCGGAGGTTGTATTACATCATGTCGATATTCAGTATTCTCCACATGTCACATAGAAAAGTGCCATAGTAAGTAGTCTTGAACAACACACTTTATGTTAGGAACAACCTGCCATGACCGGAGGTATTTGGACAGTATGCCTACCTTCGATAAGTTCAAGACTAAAACGAGAACTAAAGACTTTAGGTAAATATTTTGACTGAATGATATTTGATGGTCAGATAATAAGTGTATTGACATCAAGGATATAGCTAAATCACCGCACATATATACTGTTAATATATACGCGTTATGTGTATATGCTGTAGATAATGCAATAAAAGACTGAAGTGTATGCTGTTATCCAAACAAGACATTCGTTCTGCCGAGGCCGGCGACTTGGTCACGTCTGGAACCTCCTGGTCCTGTTCATTAGAAGCCTAAATGTCGTGACACCTCTCCTGAACAAATCCGTATCTCTGTGTGGAACTTTAGCACCTATGTAATCATTGTTTGTTCTATGCTTTGTGTTCTATTTAACATTTAAGCATATTTTCCAGTTGTGTCTTCAATGTGTTCATCAGATGGCGTTCCAACGACACGCTCCAACTCTCCTATCTAATATAGAAAGATCATATATACTTCACTAATATTACATGGATATCAATATATCACTATCCATATGACATTTTCCTCCGCATGTCAACTCTCCCTACATGGTAACGTTCCTGGTGTTACCCTACATTTTAACGTTCCTGGTGCTACCCTGCATGGTAACGACCCTGGTGTTACCCTACATGATAACGTTCCTTGTGTTACCCTACATGGTAACGTTCCTTGTGTTACCCTACATGGTAACGTTCCTTGTGTTACCCTACATGGTAACGTTCCTGGTGTTACCCTACATTGTAACGTTCCTGGTGTTACCCTGCATGGAAACGTTCCTGGTATGACTTGTACAGGTATGACATTTACCTCCGCAGGTCAAGGTTCCCTGCATGGTAATGTTCCTGGTATGACTTGTACATGTATGAAATTTACCTCAGCAGGTCAAGGTTTCCTACATGGTAACGTTCCTGGTATGACTTGTACAGGTATGAAATTTACCTCCGCAGGTCAAGGTTTTCTGCATGGTAACGTTCCTGGTATGACTTGTACAGGTATGACATTTACCTCAGCAGGTCAATGCTCCATACATGGTAAAATTCCTTGTATGACTTGTACATGTATGACTTTTACAGGTATGACATTTACCTCCGAAGGTCAAGGCTCACTAGCTACTTGGTGACGTTCCTGGTATGACTTGTACAGGTATGACATTTACCTCCGAAGGTCAAGGCTCCCAACTTGGTGACGTTCCTTGTATGACTTGTACATGTATGACATTAGACTCGGCAGGTCAAGGCTCCATACATGGTTACGTTCCTGGTATGACTTGTACAGGTATGACATTTACCTCGGCAGGTCAAGGCTCCATACATGGTGACGTACCTGGTATGACTTGTACAGGTATGATATTTGCGTCTTAAGTGTGAAGACATTTCAATTGAATGTAATTGGTACATGTTACATTATCACTTTTCTGAATTCTTTGTGTCATTAAAACTTTTTTTAATAACCTCACAATTAATCAGCTGTTCACGTGGTCACATAACAGGATTGGTACTTAAATTAGCCTTCCCAGTGAGTATTGATGGGCACACGTTAAGTTATTTCGGTAAAACATTTGTATGGAGATGTCAAAAATCTAAACATATCAAGTTATCAATAATGTGTTTACGTACAATTTGTAGCAATGGAAACTAAGGAAAGATCGCGTAATTACATGTAAAATAAATACTCTGCAGTAGTATACATTTCTTGTAATGGAAATATCAACTTAAGACCACAAACCAACCGAGAGTAAATGACAGACCGCTGTTCAAGTAGAAATGTAAATCCTTTACTTAACAGTATTATAATAATATACTGTATATTCTACATTATATTGTAAAATACAGTTTCGTGGGACATTAAATTTCGTTCATTTCGTGGACAACAAAAAACCCCACTAAATTTGGTATGATATAGATAGGGGAAAATCAAAAAATCATCGAAATATAATGTAATTGAAACAGGCTAGTATAAGAAAACCACAGAACTTAAGCCCCACGAAAATGAATGATTTTACAGTATTGCACATCTTCTATATTATACAAGGTGGCTGATAGGATTATTAGATATCTGATAGATTTATGATAATCCTGATGGGTTTATGAGATATCTGATAGGTGTACGAGATATCTGATAGGTTCATGAGATATCTGATATGTTTATGTTATATTTGATAGGCTTATGATATATGTGATATGTTTATGAGATATCTGATAGGTTTATGAGATATCTGATAGGTTGTTGAGATATCTGATAGGTTAATGAGATATCTGATAGGTCTATGAGATATCTGATATGCTTGTGATATATCTGATATGTTTATGAGATATCTAATAGGTTTAAAAGATATCTGATATGTTTATAATATGTCTGATATGTTTACGAGATATCTAATAGGTTTATGATATATGTGATTGGTTTATGATATATCTGATACGTTTATGATATATCTAATAGGTTTATGAGATATGTGATAGGTTTATGAGATATCTGATAAGTTTATGATATATATGATAGGTTTATGAGATATCTGATAGGTGTATGAGATATCTGATAAGTTTATGATATATCTGATAAGTGTATGATATATATGATAATAGTGTATGAGATATCTGATAGGTTTATGAGATATATGATAGGTGTATGATATATCTGAAAGGTTTATGATATATCTGACGGATTTATGAGATATCTGATAGGTTTATGATACATCTGATAGGTTTATGAAATATTTGATAGGGTTATGAGATATATAATAGGTTTATGAGATATATGATAGATTTATGAGATATCCATAATGTGTAAGATATTCCATTACAGGAATTACTGATCTTATAAAAGAAATGTTATGAATTTGTTTTTAATTCTGCTTTATTTTTTTAGATTTCTGTATTTTTAAGATATCTCTGTTATATCATTGTAGATATCTAATATATCATTATAAGATATCTTTCAAAAGATATCATGGATATTATACAACATATCTGATATTGAACATGATATCCCATTAATAAAACTATATAAAATATAAGAAAACGAAAACAACAAGAAAATACCGCAGTGTCAATAAAACCAAAATTTGAAAAGTTGATGAAAGAATTGCAAAATATGTATGATTTAAAAGAGACATCTAAAAAATTCGAGGATAATCAAAACTGGTTTTCTAGGAGGTAAGCGCCTTTTGCTTCAGCGCAGGCACCCGAAATTTAAATCTATGTAATGTTCAAGAAATGTCATTTCCTCAAATTAAGACACAAGGCAGTGAAAATGAAACAACAATGCACAGCGATGAACATAGTCTCAATAACGTCGACATTCATATCTCTCGAACAAATATAATGTTTTCCGATAAGATAATGATGGTGACCATAAAACCTCCTATTATTTCCATCAACGTGCAATATATATATATCTCATCTACCCTTAGATGATGACGAGGGTTTAGCCTAGATAGGAGTACATTTTTCGCGGGCATGCCTACAATTTACTGGGGTATTTTTCCATCGAACTCGACAACAAATTCGCACTATATCATTGTTAAATCTATTGTCATCGCAAGCTATAATGTCGTTCAGCTTTCCTGGAAAAGAAAGCTTTAGTGACATCAGAACGAAGGCGTTCTTTAGATGTGGATGAGATGTGGTAAAAAATACGTTTTTTGGAGGAAAGAATGTTCGAGGTTACTCTTCTGCAGTCTGGGCTTGGGATTAGGTACAATAAGATGGCTGATGGATGAATTAACAACATATTTGTTAATTGCAACATTTAATTAGCCTGTAGATATATAAACATTGATTAAAACAAACAGGCAGTGAGCTCGACACAGTGTGAGTGGAGACAAAAAATTCAAAGATACAACAAGGTAGGATAAAAAAACAAATCGAAATAAAAAATAAATAAAAAAATACCCACAACATAATCTTAATTGTAATGTGGTAAACTGTAGTACAAAATAATTTAATGCATACTAACTATTCAAACCGAAGTAACCCATAATTTACGTCGTAGACCGCAATTCACTCTCGGAATGGTAGCCATTTGTAGTCGCCATGACTACATGTACCATTTTGACCCGAATTTAGCATGTTACTTTATTTCAACTGTAGCGTACACATATGATAGATTTACATGTACCAATGGTTCTACCAGAATATCGACTAACCTGTAATCAATATGGTAATCAAAGGTAAACACGAATGTGGCTATTGTGGTAACACTACATCAAATGTACACTGTTATGGATTAGAGTTTCAACAAAGCTTCTTAATACCATAATATATCAAGTGCTTTTGATCATTGTTATTATTATATATAAGTTTCTGACTTTAGCGTACGTTATAAATACCAAGGAGATTAATGACAGAAAACTTCAAGCTTTAAATGTATACCGATTCATAGAGGACAGCCGCCTGTCTGCACCCTGTGTGTGGGTTGGATAGGTTTATTTGGTCGATACAGAAACCGGGTACCCTGTTCTAAAAGCGCGGATGACCTTACACCGGGTGGGACGCTTCATTTGAACGATACAGAAAGTGAGTACTCTGTCCTGCAACAAAAGCTTGAATGACTAACGTGTGTCACTCACCTGTACACACCGCTTGCTTAATGAGCCATCTCCGATATGAATCACCACGTGACTTCATATAAAAACAATATATTTGGTGGTCGTTTTTCTTGTTTTTATATTGATAATAAAATTAAACCTTGATTATAGAAGATTATCATTAATACTAAGTTAATGTCAATCCAGAAATCCGATGATTATGAGCCATTATAAAAAGCCATTAACATTTCTGCGTGAACCTGTTTTACAGGTTCAGAATGTAATATCGACAATAGACAATTTAAAGTGATCTGAGAATTAGGTCAGCCTTCGAGAAATTGTGATCCGATTCTTTATGTCAACATTTCTATTTATATAACCGATTCGCCCTGTTGCCTGCCAGTGTTGACCAGTTTTCTGGTTTAGGTAGCGACAACCTGTGGAAGATTCCGGCTGGACAGAGCTTACCATCGAGAGTATAAGGTAGGTTAAATATTATTTTAAAGTAATTAACAACAAACGTGTGTGAAATTGTCTCAGTAAGACTTACACCTGGCCAAAATATCAGCTTTTTCTCGAAAAGATGCATGGTACATTTATAACGATTTTACCACGCCATTTTTACATACCAATTACAGAGGCCCAGGCGGTCGATATCGGCCAAGAATGTACTAAGCTTAACGTATACCTGTATAACAGAATACCTACTACACACACCTACGTACTTACATATTCAACATACCTGTCATTACAATGCATTATGGTAATGTGTATTTATAGTCTAGTGATAATATGATACAATATTATCTACATTCCACACACAATTGTTTGTTGTAATCGTTTATGCACCTCCTAACAGTTAACATACCATTAAACGATAGACCGTCTATAGATAATCGTATTCTCGTGCCTCTGATCACACCGTTAGGGACACTCACACTGGTTGATTTACACGAAAACGGTCAAATGTTTTCTATTTATTTTTCATACCTGTTTCTTGTTGCACATTTTTGCCATCAACTTACAAAATAAGAATGACGGATGTCGCCATATTCGAAGTCTAGAGATAAGCAGATTTTGCCGGTAAATAATAGTATTTTCCACGATAGTTTCGCCGATATTATCACATCCTTAATAGTTGTCTAGATTTTATTCACCCCTCCTTCCGAAAACCCCTAATAACTTAGGGAGCATATAGTCGTCGCTTTTGTCGTCCGTTTTCCTGTGTGTCTAAACCAGATGGCTACCAAATGAGAACGTTGGAGCAGTTATTCCTATTATAAACCAAATGCTGAATGGTGGCCAAGGGTGATAGAAGGTAGTTTATTAATTATGGGATAACTAGGTCAAAAGTCAAGGTCATTTGTTATAAATGGACGAAAAATTTGGGAAGATGTTGGTTTCTGGGTCTCAATATAGATAAATCAGATCTATACCTAACTTAAATAGCTGATGCGTTTTTAGAAGAGGAACATCTGGTTTGAGTTTGGAAATATTAGGTCAAATGTGAAGGTCACACTAGCTCAAAAAATTAAAATATTGTTGGAATGTTTATTTTTATATGTTATCTCTCGCACTGGACATAAGATTTAAACCAAACTTATACGGATATTGCCACATTCGATCTGGGGGGAAACAGGGTGATAAAGGAAGGTCAGGGCTATGGATTAACTACTGTCTGCATTACATTGTGTGTTCGTTTCTGGAAACTGAACAGATAATAAGTTTCCAGCACTATAAAAGGGCAAATGCTCTCTGATATCAGGAGCTTATTGTGAAGCATATGTCAGTATTATCGACATGTGTTCTTTTTCATCGTGTTAATGGTGTAACGAGACTTAGAAAACATTGTCGACTTACCAATCCTAAAACAATGTTTATTGGCGAGTAAAACATAGTAGTTTTCCCATTGAGATTTTTTGTATAGTGATTGTTTGACTGCCATTAAAGTTAACTGCATACGAGATAAATGTAATAACCTTGGCATTGTTTTATGTTTATATGATAATTATATATTTATATGCCTAATTTCCCCTTGGTTCATTTGTGTTGGTTTCTGTAAATGTGAAGCACTTTAATACATTTTAATACTCAATAACGTTATCATCACTTTCATAATTTCAAAATATTATACATGTATGTCGTACTTTTTTACTTAAAATTATAACATGTTATAAAATGAAATTTCATCTTGCATAAGTCTCGTTTGCCAGGGTTATATTCAGTATAACGATATGTTAAATTAGCTGACATTCGATGTATATCAATCCACAAGTTTTTGTGTTGTTTAAGAAAATATATTATCTGTTATCGAAAAAGCTTCCCCTAAATTTTATGTGCTCGCTATTTGGAATAGTTCAATAACACTGGCAATATATAGAGAAAATATCTTTGGATTAGAAAAAACAAAAAATGGTCAACTATTGAAAAATATATTTGGAATAGTACAACAAAAATAGCAATCTATAGAGGGAATATATTTGGAATAGTACAACAAAAAAAGCAATCTGTAGAGAAAATCTATTTGAAATAGTACAACAAAAATAGCAATCTATAGAGAAAATCTATTTGGAATAGTTCAACAAACATGGTCATCTACAGAGAAAATCTATTTGGTATAGTAAACAGAAAATAGCGATCTGTAGATTTAAGGTATTTGGATTAGGACGACACAAGGTCACCAACATTAGGGAAACGACTTTTGGATATACGTATACCGTGACTATATATTCATTAACGGTAACCCTAAGTGAAATACCAGTGATCTGTAATCTACTTAGAGGGTCCGATGAACATAATCTCGTTAGACTTATGGTGCGAACAATATGTAATGTTAATAAATGGAATGTTAGATGCATAAATGCCGATGAGATATAAAATTTGTGTGTTCTTATCATGGTGCTCCACTGAAGTTATAATTGCATGAATGAGTGAAAACAATATATAAAGGGTCCCATTTTATTGTAATCCATCAATGAATACAGATTAGGTAAAACAAGAAAGCCAATTCAAAAATCCACATAATTTCTTCAATATTTTGTGTGTGTTTTTTATATTTGATTTCATTAATTCATTAAATCAATATTTATTCATTTATGTTTTTCTCTAAAGCAGTCTTATTGCATTGTCTAAGATCTAGAGACGAGTAGCTTTGACGATAAAATCGCTTAAAAGGTCGTTATTTACGTCAACAAACTGATATATTATCAACTTAGAAACGTCCTTAATAATGTAATATTTTAATCTCACGTACATGGATTGTGGTAGATTATTTACACGTACCTAACACACGACCACTGAGATTGATTTGACCTATAATAGTGGACAATATAATCTAAAGGTCAAATACTCCAACTTATGGTAACAAAAGAGGACATATTGACCAAGGAACAAATTAAATGTCGACAAAAAAAAACTGCCACCGTTCTGGGTTGTGACCTAGAGGTCCCTTGGCGAAATTCTAGTAAGCGCTTTACAAAAACAAAATTTAATAAAAACTAATTTTAAACTTTTTAAAATTGTAGTTGCTATTCCAGTGTTGTACTGTTCATGCAAGATTGAAATAGATAAGGAGAATAATTGAAATATAGTGTGTTTTTCACATATGGTGACTACGAGACTCATTGTTACAGCGCATTGACCTTGCAATGAAACACTCATGAATATGGCGTCTATATAGACATTGATGTTGCTGGCTTGATGCTTGTAACTAAACACGAATCATTTCAGTCTTTATATTGTGATTGATAGACTACCGGAAACGCTTTCTGTGTTTATGTAAACTTTCCCTAGTGTCATTAAGATACGTTGATACAATGTCGATAGATACGTATTTAACACGTATTCAGTAGACTAGTATTTCGTAATCAGGTGGATATACCTACAGGTGATCCTGAATTATGTGTGTAGGCGTTAATTGCCGTGTTAATCTATAGAGAAAATATATTTGGAAAAGTAAAACATAAAAGTCCATTTATATATTTTGGAAAGTACAACAAAACTGGCCATCTATTGAAAAAAAAATTGAAATTGTACAACAAAACTGGCAATCTATTGAGAAAATCTATTTGGAATAGTACAACAAAACTGTGATCAAGGATACTGTTACCCATCTTTGAAAAGTGCATTATTATTAATTGACTGACAAAGCAATAGCAATTTCACTGTAGTATACACAAAAAGAACGAGCTTTTTATTGTGGAAATAAAACGTTTAATCCTGTGCTAAAAACAGATTATTCTTACACAGAATGTTATAAGCTATATGTTTATGGAACTAATAAAACGACATTTTAAATAACTTGATGCAGTATGAATGTATAGACTGACTCATAAATTGATATTTCACTATAAAATAAAACAATGTTAGCTTTTTATTGTGGAAATAAAATGTTTATCCCGTGGTAAAAACAGATCATTCTTATACAGAATGATAAGCTATATATTTTAAACGTAATCACAAACAACTTGATGCTATGTTGATAGATACACATTTTACACGTAAGCAGTAGACCAGTATTTCGAAATCAGGCGGAAAAACATACAAGTGACACTGAATCATGTGTGTAGGCGTTAATGGCCGTGTTAAAAGTGTGCTGTCTCTGTATGTACACTTAGATGTTCAACTCACAATCCAGCTCACGGTAGGTAGTCAAATCTTTATCTATATGTTATAGGATTATACTTTTTTTTTAAATATTAATTTCCTAATAGTGTATGTAGCTATACTACTATATGCAACGATTTACTCTACTTGTTTTATTTGTAGGGTTTGACTAGATGTTAACACGAACACCTATACAATCCTTGTATAAAAGTATTAAAAACAAATATGATTATTATTTCTTAAGTTGATCGTGTTTCTATCATTTTTATTATTTAGCTTTAGATTACATTACCATGACATTTCTTTTCATTTGTCGTTGATGCATTTGAAGCTCATTATCTCCGTAATGAGATGAAAAAGCTAATGATATTCGAAAGGTGGTGTTTCTCATTTATATGTGCATGTAAGTGATTACCGTTTTCTGACTTCGCAATCATTAGTTAATTTCTGTAATCAAGATAAATTGGATTTTCTGGTTCGGACAACGGGACCCCGGCTTTGCATGTAACTACACGCATGTACATGTGTTTTAGGTATACTTGTTTTTGGATATATGTTTCAGATTACAAAATTAATGACAAATAAGTCATGTGTGTAAATTTGCAGTTGCTGTGTAACATAAGTGTTTCCGAACGTGGTTTGTATGCAAAACATTAGAGATATTGGTTATCAATGTTTAACATATACATGAAATCATATGGGAACAGTTAAGGACATAAGAAATAAGACATTCTTTTGAATATGAAAAAGGGTTTAAATTTCGCCCAAAATATTCTTATCTTCCCTACACGAAGTGCAGATTTTGAAATGTTCTCTTATGCATTTTATTTAACAACAGATATTGGTCAAATGAATTTAACAACATCTGTTTTTATTTA